TTCAATGATAGACCATTCGTTATGCCACGGGATATAACTCGGCAATTTCTGATATTGAATATAGATAAGAATTATTATTGACGTCTCGCACTGAAGTTTGTTTTAAATTATTAGTTTGTTTTATTTAATTGAATTTATAACTTTATGCTGTTAAAAAGATTTATAGACCACAGTGCTCTGTAGCCTCAATCTCATAATATTCATTGCACAAGCTCGTCGGCTATGGGTGCGTTCTTTTTTATATACCATAGAGCACCACTATTTTTTAAATGTAACGGGGCAGGAAGCTCAACTGATGTTAAGTGATACCGCCGCTTTCGAACACTTACATCGCTTGCAAGTGTGTTGCGGCCTTTTAAGAATTGGTACGCTCTTTTGAAGGACCCTAAGTCGAATTGGTTGGGAAATACTTCAGTGTGTAGCTGGTTCCACATAGTGGTGGTGCGGGGCAAAAACTGCCTTAAAAAACGCTCAGTTGTGGAACTCCGGATGTCGACTCTGTATCCACTGTTATTGGTACTTTTGACCTGTTTTTTACAAGTACATATTGTATCTATCCAGAACCATTCAAGGTCTACTACCCGTCACTAATTGTGTTCATTAATATTTCCGTTAGTAAATCGTCTAGCCCAGAACACCTTCAACACTGCTTTCTATCAGATAAGTCGTCGTAAGAGCAGTTGTTTTTTTAACGGAAGTATATTAAATTTATGTAATCCAAACAATCGATCTAGATAAGACTATAAACGGTAAATGTATTTTACATTTATTGCAAACTAGACTCACGACTTCCTCTGAGTTCTGATGAATGTTGAGCGAAATGTAATGGGGACTTGACGCATAGTTCACGATTGTATTTAGAAGGCAAAAACACTGGGTCTTTTGACGACTACATCATTTTGGCGCTATTAAAACTGGATATTTGTTTTATTTGTTCCACTCGAGTATGTTAAAGTAGTTACCTATATTATCAAATTGCGAAATTTGTATTAGGAAAAAAATTTAGACATACTTATGTAACTCAATTTTAAAACAACAGCATCGTACTTTATCGTTTAGAAATGGGGCTTCTTATATATACAGTCAAAACCGTTTACGACGACATCGTTTAGAACAACATAACTGTTATATTGACCAAAATCAAACGTCGTGGCTGAATTCTATTGTATTAGGTACTTAATAACAACGTCATCGGCTGTTACGACTATCGGTTTTTACGACCAAATATGAGTAGTCCCTTCGATGTCGTTATAACAGATTTTGACTGTATATATATATTAAGCACTGAGGCTTAGGTAGCTTCAGTGTGCGACTCTCATCCCTGAGGTTGTATGTTCGATTCCCGGCTATGCACCAGTAGACTTTCTTTCTATTTCGCTCGAAAGGTTAGTGAAAAAATCGTGAGAAAACCTTGCCGTAGACCTAAAAGGTCGAAGGCGTGTGTCAGGCACAGGAGGCTGATCACCTACTTGCCTATTAGATTGACAAATGATCATGAAAAAGATTTATTTATTTAACTGCGCTACTGATTTATTTATTTAAACAACCGTATGCTATCCTTTTTCAAGTTCAAAAACCCAAGTGGGCGTTTACAAAATAATGTTAACCGGTATTGACCTTCGAAAACCGGTAACTCTATGCACATTCCAAATTTGACATTATCGAGGACTATAAAAGAATAACGGTTTTTTTATCAATGTTGTTTGTATGAGTCATAGACTAAAGAGTTTTTGTTGATTTCACTATATTTTTTATTTGTTTATATTAGAAAAACAATTTTGGAAATAACAAAGAACAAGTTTTGCAATTAAAATAAATCAAAACGTATTCCTAATAAGGGCCAACGATTGATAACCTAGCACGTAAATGATAATAAACAAACGCACGTCTCACGAGGATAAATAACAATTGTGAGGTCGCAGAAAACTAGACCTTGTTCTTGGAGGATGTGAGTGGAAACAGTTGAATGTGCAATAGACTATAGAAACAAGTATACACTTCAAATAAAGGAGACACTCTTACTTGCTTTGAACGTGAACTCCATCAAGGAACACATAATTCCGCGAACGGCTGACTTTGTCACCGCCATTGTAATTAATACTTGTATGTATCATATAGAAGCTCATGAAATACTGAGCAGGTTTGCATCTGTTGTGGTTCATTAGAGCGCACCAGTGCTCCGGGGGCCCTGTTTCTATTATTGTCCGTCCCTAGAGGGTTCACGATCGTCCCATATATGCAAAGCATGTTACAATCTTATTATATTACGTCATATTAAATACATTTTTAAAAATAGAATATAGCTACCCCGTGCAACCTACATCGCTGATTAAATTAATTCTAAATTTCCCTAAATACATTCCATCGATTTGAACAAGACTAGCTCAGTTTCACCGAGAATACCATTCTCAGCCAAGTCAAAGGCTATCATCGTCTATCTATCTATTCTTATGATTTTACAAATGGCATCTTTATACAAAATAAGATATAGTCAAGCTAAGGTCGATGACAAGATTAGTTTCTATTCAAAGCAGCTTTCTACGGCGAATTTCTCCTTAAAGTTCAAGATATCTTAAACGCTTTCAACCATTTATCCTTCTGGAATTTGTAGGCATAGCAAAACCTACAATCGCGTAGCTTGGCGTCTTATTCAAATTCATAATCATTTATTCATTTAGGTAGACACACTGTATGAACGTCAATAAACGTTCTAAAAAAACGGCGTAGAACGGTCGAGAATAACTGGCTACAAATCCCACCTTAAGGGCCAGTTTTTTGATCCGTAGTAAAAAATGGTTTTACCATTTGTTACATTAACTATAGTTAAATGAATAACCATTGGTAAAATCGTAAATGCGTTTTTCAATGCCTTTTTTAACTATAGTTAAACTTAACAATTTGTCAATTTGTTGCCAGTGCAATGAGCAATGACATCCCAAAAAATGTGGTTCTTTTTTGTGGGGAACATTTATTTTGTATGACAACACTAGACATATTGAGTGAATGAAATCCATTTTTGCCATCTTCATTCGTTATTTGCGCTTTGAAGAGTTTGAAGTGTCAAATTAATCTAAATAACACGATATAAATAAAGTTGTTTTTCTGTGATTTAATACGGTTTACACTTTTTACGATACTTAAATATATAAATAACGATGTCCGCAAACAGCCAACGGTCAAATAAGTAAGTACAAACATATTTTCGTGTTATTTATTCCGGTTTATCTTGTGTTTCGTAATAGAAAGTAATACATTTATGTTTTGTTAAAGGGATCATACTGCTAACTTCGCCAAAAAAGAAACTGCCAAACGGGTGATGCTTCTCAAGGATTACACAGTCGTAACCTGCAAACAACTGATCACTGCAGCAATCTACAAAAAGATGCAGCTTGGAAATCTCTGTGACGTTTTCAACTCAGATGGGTCTAGACACCAAAGTGTTAAATTTAATATACATTTAATGAAGGTGTAGGCACATATTTATATTTATTCTTGTATAGCTGTGTCCTACAACAAAAGGAAAAATCTTTTAACCCTTTGGAAACAAGGAAGCGGATTATGATCCACACGGATAAAAAAAATTGAGTTTTTGAAACAAAGACAAATAAGAAAGGATGATTTGTTCAATTATGCTAAGGAAGAGCATCAAAAACATTTGCTGCACCAATGAGAGGCCCACCAAAAATTCATACTGCATAAAGAGGAGGTGCACCAAAAAGTGATGCAGCAGATGGAAGAAAGGCACAATAAATATATGTAGCAGCAAAAAGAGTTGCATCAAATTGAGGTGAAATGCAAGAAGAAACAATTAGAAAATATTTAATTGCTACTTTAGGGTTTCATGTAAATTTTGTAATGTTTTTTTTAATAAAAATGGTTTGTATTTTAGTTATAATTAAACAGTTTATTAATCAAGTCAAATGTTTTATTTATAAATTCTTGTAATAAAGTAGGTAGATGCTAACTCACAAATGTAATAAAAGCCCTAAAGAATATCATAGGTCCCTAACTAATGTGTAGCTGTAGTTTTTAGTATAAGTACATACTTGTATGTACTTATAATATTTATAAGTTAATATTATTAGTAATACATATATAAATAATATTAACTCTAATTAATTATGTATTCTATTGCCTATAATATTAACTTATAATAATTACAAGTTAATATTATAGGCAATAAAACACATAATGAATTAGTAATATACTTAATTATATACTGCTGCGGTTCTGTAGCTAGTAATGAAGCAAAATAGGTTTGTATGAGCTGCTGTCTATATATACTCTTGTTCTTGTATTTTATTTAATTATAAGTCAATAAAACACATAATGAATTAGTAATATACTTAATTATATACTGCTGCGGTTCTGTAGTTAGTAATGAAGCAAAATAGGTTGGTATGAGCTGCTGTCTATATATACTCTTGTTCATTGGCAGTTTAAGATCATTCCCAATTTCAGTAACAATCCAGAGCACTGTTCCCTTCGATAGGGGGTAACAGTGACAAAAATCTACATCATCCCAGGTTTCTAATGGCGGATGACATTGCCTAAATATTTTTGGTCACTCATTAACACATTCTCATATAATATTATCGTCTTCTTCATCGTCTCATTAATTAAAGTATCTCAATATGTTTAAATTCATCATTAGATAGTAATAAACGTATTTATCATAGTTTGATTTCTGTGACAAACAGCTGTTACTATATAAATTACCAGCGGCCATCTTTTTAACCCTCCGATACTGAGTAGTTAACTTTTTTGACTAATGGTTAGATATTTTACCATTGGATGCTCTTACCACGGATCAAAAAACGCATTTTGCTGATATTTAACTAATAGTAACGATTTTTTACCAATAGTTGAGTTAACTACGGATCAAAATCCCACCTTAAATGATACATTTTAGACAATATATCACTTAAGGTGGGTTTGAACAGAAAAAATTGCCTTAAATGTAAATTTATCAGCTTAACCGCGAGCTTAAATATAAAAAGCTACCAATGTTTTTCTGTTTCGTAGATAAGTTTAATGCTAAAAGTTAACGTACCGTATCCATATACAATGGGTTGCAGTTCACTAATGCGAACCCGCCTTGGTACTCTTGACGGCAAGGTACTAAAATGACCTGGAACTGACGCATTATCTTGCGTATAATGTCCATGGCGTGGTAAAGTTCCATATATTTGATTGTATGGTGGATTCAATGCCGTCCGAGACAGTGTTATGTTACCACGGTCTCTCAACGACGTGTACTGTACATACGCACTGTTTCTATCAGGGGCGTGTCTTGGTCGGTCAAATTGATCCAGAGCTTGAAGGCTTTGCGCAGGATATCCGTTCTGGTTAGGCTGGCGCCGATACTTATCTAGTATATCGAAAGCTCGGTGGTGTGGCGCTGCGAAACGATCCGTTGCAAATATCTCACTAACCGGTAGCTCACTGCTATTACTCAAGTTGCTGCGATTACTTCTAACACTACTTCTAGTACTATTCCTACTCAACGAACCATCACCACGAACACTTAATTTCACTTCTAAGCGTTTATCTTTCATCCTCCTGAACAAATTTCGGAACTTTCTAGAGAAGGTAGACAAAGATTTATATGCCAGAAGAGATGACTACAATGTTCTTTATAATGACTAATGAATGTCGATGTATTAGTTAATGAACACAAGACAGAACACGCCGAACATTGTCCGGTTAATTGAGGTCAAAAGTTTATTTGTAACATCGCAACAAAGGTACTGTCAATACGGAGCCGACAATAAAGTTTGACAGGAGAAAATTCGTGATGCCGATTCGTGAGAATAAAACACGTCTTGAGAAATGCTAATGCAGAATAAACAAATCTAAAACATTAATCGCTTCGTGCTGGGATCCCGCAGAAAGTTTTGCTTATAAAAACACTTTCACAACACAAATTATTATTTATTTCGTATTGTGATTCAAATTATTGAAAGAGCATAAAACACGACTCTCTTAGGTAATCATTTCTTGACCACTGTTCGCGCTTGCACCGTTTTATTGTTGACGTTGATAAGATAATATTAGTAATAGCATGTGTTGTGCAGCTATTTACTAGTATTACGTACATTGGTGTAGCAAAATTTAATTAAATTGTAATGCATTTGTAACGTACAACAATTTTATTATTTCTTATAGGTTCTGTCAGGGCGTATGCCCTCTATTACATAAAAAAAATGAGCATAAGACAACTAGCTAGCTAGATAACCTCATAATAATTAAAATAATTAAACCTATGTTTTGTCTTTGAGATATTTTTATTGTAAGGAACGGGTTAGTGAATCGGTTGATAGACCAGAGTGAAGTTACATGAATCACATGATAATATTTACATTACAACAACATACACTTGGCCTTCAGTTAATCGACGTTTCGAGCAAACTATTTACATAGCATTATATATTCTATTCATTTACACCTGTACCGCATTGACATGACAACTGACAAAAAATCTAAACACCACGAGGTTATACCTAATTTCTCGATTTTAAATAGTTTAAACTTACCAATCCCTAAATCTTTTTTATATTACTAACTTAAGTACTTCCTATCTCCAATATCATTGTTATTCCTAAATAAGAACGAATTGTTTCCACTATAAATCTTGTAGTCATCTCTTAAGGCTTTATTTTAATAGTAATTGTGACTAATATTTCCGCTTTAAATATGTTGTTAGGCTATGAATTAGTCATAAACAAAATTTTATTTCACTTCCCTAAACGCCATACACAAGTACGATTATATTAATATGTTAAATATTTAATCAGATATTGATATGGGCACGAACACTTCACTAAAAACTGACCAATCGAAGTTTAAAGACGTCCCGAGAAATTCTATAGTTTATAGTTTAACACGCGACTTCCATTGTGTAAACGCGAATATGGACAGAGTTTTGTTATACACAGCTATATCATAGATAATACGATAACGAACTGATAACGCGCCCTCAAACATTGCGAATGAAAAACATTGCTTCATTTAACACATTTTTACGCAAAAACCCTTCGTCACCTCTTTTTTTGAGATTTCCATTGGTTCTTAGTACTATAAATCTAGAATACTACTAACTTCAAATGTGGTTTCAAGGTTGTTAAGCGATACGTTACTAATACACAAGTGTTTTGGTATTGTTATAATATTTCCTATACTAGCGGGTGGACATTTTTTTGTTCTATCATATCAATAGGTTTCGTAGCGCATGCGATGAAAGATATTTAATAGCCATTTTTTTAAACTTTGGTTAACATTATTGTAGTTTTAGTAGGGTTCCTTAATTTTTCTTGCCATTAAAATTCTATTGCAATTTCAAGCCTATATTAATCAGTGATAATGTAGCATTCAAATGGTGTAAGAATTTTAAAAATCGGTCCAGTACTTTTTGAGCCAATTCGTTACAAACATACTTACATTTTTTTTTTTTTTTGTTATCCGAGGTGGAAATGCATTTGCGCATCCCCTGAACAGGGGTATGTGGGACTCAACCCACGCCAAAATCTCTGCTATTCAGAGACTGGGTGAGCAATACCCACTAAAACCACCTCGAGTAGTTCCGACAAAGCCGCGTTACAGAGGCTCCGGGGTCGCTGTCGCATTCTACCGGGACCTCAACGGCATGTTACACTCAAAAACCTCCGGTGTATAAACGCTACATAGGAGGTAGGAGATGGGCATATCTTCTCCTATTTACTCCCCGTCTTCTACCCCTAGGATTCGTCCTAAAGCGCTCCCTCTCTCGTTCTGCTGTCTCCTTCTGTAGCATGACATGCTCACAGAAGGATACCACTGCATTCCATACCTCGTCACTGCCGACCATTTTTTGTACAACACAAGGCAAAGCAAGGTTATTACCCATCACAGAAATAAGATTGTGACGTAGCTGAGACCACTGCGGACAATCCTCCAACGTAACAAACATACTTACATACAAATCTTTCCTCTTTACTATATTAGTATAGGTTTGCAAAATTTTTTGATAATTCATAACACATTTTGTACATTTTCAGAGGCTTCGAATCAATGCTTCAAATTTTCAATAAATAGGTCACAGGGCCTTGACTACGGCAACCGACTTCAACATAAATACTACAAAGACAATTTCACATTGCGCCATTACAACAAAAATAATATAAAATAACTGTAGTCTTGTAAAGTACTAGAAATAGGCATTAATTTATTCCCGTAACAAAGGAGATGTGGTCACGACCGCGTGAAGTGTCGCAAGCCGGGCCAGAAACAATTTATCTTGTAGCATCGTGCTCCGATGTCACCATACACTTTCATATCTACGTTGAAATACACAATAAACACGATTTTACTTTGCCATTTGTTTTCAATGGGTACTTTTCCAATCGTTCTAATTGCCTTATTTCAACGGATAACATACCTAATTGTAGCCAAGTGTGTGAGGTATCATATCAAATAAAAAACGACTTACCATCAGGAACATCATCGACCCCTTCTTCATCATCTGTTTTATGTTCTTCCGGCTGCTCTTTCTTCTTGATCGCCTGCAAAAACGCAGTTATTAACATCCAAAACAAAGCCGTACGCAAAATCGTGCTCGAATCTTAATTGAAATCTTATATCTCAATCTCACCCGGGCCAGCCATCCACCCGCTGCTTTCAAGCACCTCATTTTACCAAGTTCTGATTAAGTTGCATTGGAAAGTCGATCAATCGCGGAGAGAGCATTATTACGGGCGTCGTGCAAGACAGTTGCGAACATCACTGAGGTTTGATGATGTGCTTGAGGGCCCACGCACCAGCCCGTAACAACCGTATTCCAATTACCCACGCTAGTCACAGAAACGATTCCACCGGAAGATATATTGTTTATTTTGAACAAAGTGTATATGAAATTTAACGCGAATATAGAAACAAACACAAGTAATTGCGGTCGCGTCTCGCAAAATAATCTGTAATGCTTATATGAGATCTCTCGACTATTGTGTTGTTCTAACAAGAGCATACATAGCTTTTACCATTTCTTTAACGTTCGTGCGATAGTCATCACGAATGGCGCTAGATTCGCATCTTAGCAGCATAATTAGCAAAACATTTAGGGAACCCATCATTTAATACACTTTTAAATTTCCTTTTCCTAATTAGTTATACCTAATATATCCTTCCTATTACTGTTGGATATTTTCAGAAAAAGAAAGCCCAAAAATATTGAATATACAAAATAAATATGATTACGTCAGTATCTGCTTCGTGATATTACCATTACAGATTTTAATGGCATCTGATCATAAAATCGACACCATAATGATTGGTAGAAAGTTTATTCTCTGAATAGACAAACTTTTATATCAACAACAATTGGACACACTGGAGCTATAATTTTTTATCTTTAATAACTCCATTATTATTTTTCAAACGATGGACTATAAATTTAAATTGCATAAGACACTCAAATTGCGTAACAATCAATATACTTTTGTAACTGAGGTTAAAAACTTTTTTTTAAAGAATAGGTGGACGGTTATAAAGGGTCACCCATTGTGGGTGCTATGCCCGCATTTGAGGTAGGAGTATGCTCTCTCTATAAACAGTTGAAGGTCGTATCTCCCAGGAGAGACCGGGAGTTGATTCCACAGTTAGCTAGTTTGTAAAAGATAAATCCAAGTCTACGGACCGTGGAGGACTTCTTAGAGGCACTTCTTCTAGTTTAATAATACACATTTAATCAACAACTCACTACATTAAAACCACGCAAATAAACAAAATAGTGCAGTGCAATGTTTGTGCCGTATAAGACATGACCTATCTCACCTGAACACGTATTCCAAAAATTACATTAAACATATTGAATTACAAAAGATCAGGTTTTAAACGCATTCGAATGAGAAAGACAATGACTAGTATTACTATATCGTATTTTTGGATGTGATTGATAGTCCAAGGCTATTTGGAGGGAAGTATAAGAAAAAGGTGAATAATAAAAGAAAAGAAGCTCTAATAAACAAGTTTTAAAAAAAATGAGGAATGCTAAGAGGTCGATTAATAGTAGAATTTGGACTAACCTTATTGTCAAATGTTGCAAGTCAAATTTTAGAAGTTATACTTCTTTTGGCGCGTTAGGGAAAAATGATGAGTGTAAATTTTTACGAAGCGCGCGCCCACCGTCACAAAAAACCGACACCCTGAAGTTAGCTATAGTCAACATTTTAGATTTCTAGACGTAGAATAACATTTTTGAAAGATTTTTATCTTGTTTCACCAAAGAAGTATAACTCCTAACGCGTGTACATAAGTACACACACGTTTTTTTTAAAATGATAACTGGTCACAGTCATGGCTTGCATTCAGTATATAAGCCACGCTTATGTTTCTTTTATTAATTAGCAGTAAAAATATTAGTTACCTCACAATTGACGGGATAAAAGTTTTTGTATATCTCTCTATAAATATATAATAGATATATTATCTATAGCAAACTGGAGACCAGTAGCTCGTTACTTTATGGGTTATACGTAAAAGAGTTCTTAGATACAAAAAATACGAGCGGCTATCTACATGCAAGCTGGGAGACCTGCGCAATAAGTTCCCTCGCTCTTCCAGCGTCCACTTGACTGATGCGTTTGTTCTTCAAGTGGTGGGGGGTGTCCCGCCGATGCAACCGACCCCCCACCGGTCCGGTGGGACCCCGGTCTGTTACCCCTCGCCAGGCTACACGTCTGCCTGCCCGCTAAACCAATACCCGGGTTAATAAGCAGTTCATTTAATAACATACTGTTTAAAGTGCCCATTCTACTTAATTTAATGTTAAATATAGTGCCAACCACGACCCATCCAATACTTTTAATGATAGGGTTAAATTAAAACCCTACTTAACTGTAATGAAACATTGTCAAACTTACGATCACTAATCTAGAATAAACTTCGAAATTTAAAAGTCAGACGTTCGCATTCAACAAAACACTTTTTCGTTTCAAATTCATGTTCAATTATTATCTTCAAAATCTCGACAGAGATTTGATATTTTTAATAGTCATATTATATATGAGGTACATGACTTTTGACTTCCTCTCAATAAGGCGTCAGAAAAGGCCGTGGATGGCACATTTTAAACGATAAAAGTATTTCAAAAACATTAAGCAATTAGTTTAAATTACAGTCTAACATTTCAAAAGGAAAACATTTTTTCCCGTAATTGCAAGATGACGAAGAAAATACCTAATTATAAGTTATCACTTAGAAAGTTAATCTAACCTCAATTGATGTTAATAAGTATCACCTGAACTTTCCCAAGTGGTTAGTCAATATGTTAGTTTTAATTCTATGATCCTGGGATCTTTTTACCATTATTAACTTGATTTTATATCGACGTTTTTGAACTATATGCCTTACTTATATAGTTCAAATCGAATTAGTCTTTACAATAGAATCATCAAGCCTAGTGGATATTATCGTAAAATTGACTCCCAAATGTTAAAATCTAAAGTCAACAATCAAAGAGGTTGCAATAAAAAAAATTGGAGATGCTTAGGGCCATAAGAGTGATGATGGTCAGTCAAGACGAAGTTTTTTTAAACATATTTTAATTAAATAATTATTTGTTGAAACCGGGTTAGTATTTAGATAATTTTACTTATATCGTTATATGAAAAATGTTCAATATTCAACTCATTCAAAAGTAAGGCATACATTTCTTTACAAGGAATGGTAAGAGACCCTATAATGTTAATACCGTAGAAACGGTTAGACAAGCATTGAAGACATAAAATGATTAATTAATAAAGAAATACCTCTAGTTCATCAGATTCGTCATTGTCGTAATTTTCACCGTCGGTTGATTCCTTGTCATGTGTCTGTGTGTCGCTATCTTCGTCTTGTGTCTCCTGCGCAGGCTGTACTGGTGGCGGCTACAAATAATCATCAGTATAACATTCATAAGAACCTTCAATATTACGAATAGAAAAAAATATTTGGATTGGCGAGATTTTGCCTACTTTCTGCACCATTTCGATAATTATAAGACAAGAAGATAAAAAACCTTCAGCCAACCTTCAGAAAGAAAAAAGATTCTTCCCAAGATTTGTACGCGAAGCCATTAAAATCAAAAAATACCCCAATTTCAATAGAGAAGGCGGCCTAGAAATTGTCAAACACCTGGGATCCAATAATATCCAAATTAAAATCTCAAGATCAACAATCCGCGAAAATAGACGACACCGTGAGCCATTTCTGCCAAAAGCCTCCATCTTTTAGTCGATACCAACTCCGGGGAAACAAATACAGATAATACAACATTTTCTACAGCTGTGATACTTTTTGACATTCAACACCTTTTGTCTTCAGTCACCGTGACCACGCACGCTGTAAAGCACGCGAAACATCGGTTAAATTTAAAATTATGAAAAATAATTGTAAATTTATAATACATAAATACATAACTTCAATCCGGTAAAAAATTGTTTTATTATCAAAACTGCAGCTATTTCTACTTCTCCAGCGTTCACCTTACTCAGAGGCAATCAATAAAAAATACATACCTCGATAATTTCCTTGGCTTGAACTGGTTCTGGTGAGATAATTCCATTGGTCGTTGGTGCTTCATTCTGCTGCTCCGGCGTCCTCGTGAACAGTTTAACTGCTTTCGCCTTAAGGTCTCTTGGGTGAGGTGTATTTTGACGGACGAATGGCGTCTATAAAGAAATATAAACATGAAATTCATTGAACTTTGATAAAGTTTACGAAATAGGCTATACTGCTATAAAAATCGATATACATATAAAAAACTTTAAAAATTGTCACAAGAATTATTTAAAGGTTGTAATACCAAAGAAAATACCGACAGGGTGACATATATGTATATGCGAATCGGAGTAACATTTGCAATGAAATTAACATATTAGCAGAGTTGGTTTTAATATAAATACGATATTATAAGCAGAATAACCTTTGTAACACATGCACATGCTATAATTAAAATTGAAAACCTACAAACTCGAATGAAACAATGGAATCAGGACAAAATAAGTCTACTAAGCAAAAATTCATGATATAAAGCTTAATGGTATTTTATATTTCATCAAAATAGTAATTCACGAGAAGCTAAACTAAATAACTTTGCGACAGGCGTGACCCATAATAAAATATTTATCAAGTCTTTAAACTAATAAAAAAAATCAGTCCTAAACGATTATAATATAGCAAATTGACGCTTGTTCATACTAATACAACTAGCGTTAACGGATCACACCTACCATTAAATACATTTGACTCGGGCCCCTGATACCTTAGCCCATGATTAAGTGCCCAATTTGATATAGGTACTCTAACTCTAATCGATCCTATCAAAGTCAAGTATAAATATAAATATGTAACCTGAAAAATCAAAAGTTACGTATAAATCCCGATTAGCTAAATAATGTTTTGTACCTTATATTTAATTTCAAAGAGATAAGGACAAAAAAAATATTATTGATCGTTTATCGTTTATAAGTAAGGATTTATCAAGTTACTAAAATTATTCACCTGAATAACCATATGTTCATTGTACAATTAAGGTTACCAATTCTGTATACCTTGTTGTAATAAGATGCGATGATAATTAGCAATAATAAACGCACCTTATAATCGTATTCGTTACAAATTGTGATGAAACCGAACAGATGTTTACGAAGTTACCACCGTCAGTATTTGCATAATTATGAGAACTCGATTGACGTAAAAATGGCTGATAGACGTCGCATCGATGCTTTTGAAATGTACTACTGGCGACGTATCCTACATATTTCCTAGACAGCCCATAAGGACCAATGCTCAATTCATACTACAAGTCACCAAGGGCCTTTAAAAGCATTTGTCCCCAAACTGTTGCAATATTTTGGCCTTATTACCCGGAAATCTCATGATAACTTATAATAACAAAAAAATGTAAGGAAAGGGACGCTGCCCAAAACGATGTTTCGACCCGGTATCACAATACCTAGGCACAAAGGTCTCTGTCGCCATTCACCTAGCTGGAGATCGTCAGAGATGAAAGCAGCAGTGCAGTAATCTGCCACAACGGGGTCGGGAGCATCACGATGCTCAGCAGTTCAGTGGAGGTTATCTCAATATTTAGTTCTATAGGATATCGGATACTTTTAACCGGCTTCAAAAAACAGTACGGAAATGTTATGTAGTTAGTATGCAATATTAATAATGTTAATTTCAAAAACGTAATAACGACAAGTTTAAAGGATAAATCTACAACTCAAAGCTGTGACGACAACAATTCTAGAGATTGAAATAAAATGTTATCCAAATTATCGAGGTTTACAGTAAAACAATTAAAGGGTCAATAATAAGGATAAAATCTTTCTAATAAACGTGGTAATATAAAAATCTGGAAAACCAAGAATTCTTAAGGAATTCAGTAACCAAATGTAACAGTTCTCCAAAAGGCACCTTATGGCCAGGATATCATGACCTTTGTGACCATTATAATTGTCGTTTAGCCTATTAAGAACACGCGTGAAACACAGGATATGATATCACACGACAGTTCACCTCGACGCTGTTTGGACGTCTTGGAGCTAAGTGCAGTGCAAATAGTGATAAAGAGCTTTAGATAATTATACTTGGAAAATGTTGATTTTTAGAGCATTTACCAGTTATGTAAGATCTAATTTGATATGTCAAATTTGTAAATGGTTTTATATAGAACTGTATTTTACGGAACAATTATAATGCAGCACTAGGATTTTTTTTTTACAGCTGCAATGGAAATGGGCAGGGCATATAGCAAGGTGTACGGACAAAAGATGGACCACCGAAGCCTGATGGAGGGGACCTACAGGAAAAAGAAACGTGGGAAGACCACAAAATCAATGGACTGACGATATCATAATGGTTTCTGGGGAGAAATAGATAGAGGAAACAAAGAGTAGATGCAAATGGAAAGTTCAGAAGGAGGCCTTTACCCAAAAGGGGAACTACAGAACACGAAGTAATGAAAATAAATATATCTAACATAGACTAGAAGTGTATAGTAAAACAACTAACACCCATCTGATTTGTTATTTTTATAGTATGTAATTAAAGTGGTTAGTTTATTATTATAGCAATAGTAATTTGGATAAAAACGTTAGGTTTTAGAAAAAATATTTTCCAGTTACAGTAGCATAAGTTGACTATTAAACTTCTCTGAAAAGTAGTACAATGGAAAATGTTTATGGCTTGTAATCATCAGGGGCGATGTAAGATTTTTCATAAAAACATATATTTTACTCAGACATCCGCCTTGACGAATTAATCACTCTCAAAGTGAAATTTATGACGATGTTTGAAGAAAACCTCAAAGTATCCAGTCAAACTATCGGTCATTATTAGAAATTTCGCCTTAAACTAACAAATTGCACAATTAACGAAAAGTTTATTGTTTCAGGTACATTGTAGAGACAAAATCGTAAAACTCAGATAAGGGATCTCCATATCCCAGGGGACTTATAAATAATATATAACTTAATTTGCCGCTAATCAGTCTTATAGATTAAGTAAAACCTTAAATTGAACTAGATGAGTGGCGATTATAAGTAAAGTCTACCTAGTACATAACAAAATCGCATGACAAAAATCTAGAAAGGCATGCTTAAAACCTATTTCTAATTCTACTATGTAAAGCGGTATGATTGTTTTGTTTCAAGTTACGCAATTGTTTATCTAACCATAAAATCTACGTTGCGATCTCAAAATCTAGTTCAGGTAACTAAATGCGTGGAGGCGGCGCATACAGGCAGAGTGCATTCACAAAATTATTGTATATTTTCTCAATGTATTATACCTTTTGTTGGGATTAATTAAGTACCTTCATACAGATGTTATAGGAAACGGACAATTATACTGAAATAACCGATGCTCGAGCATTGATAGTTGAACCGAAATCTCCAATAGCCATTGCTGCCAGTATAGTTCTATAGAAAGCTGGCTTGACAGCCGTTTTACAGTTAAATTTGTTTTGGTATTGGTAGGTTTTACGACTACTAAATATAATATAATTGTTAGAATAGAAATTGAAGATTACGCTCCTATTCATAAACGTCAAGCCTTAACGAATTTATGAATGTTTTGTTCCGTTTATGTGTTTAAAATTAACACTAGAGTGAGAAGGACAAAACATTAGATATATATTTAAGGCTGTGACTTCCCAATTGGTATATCCGTCGTGAATTTTAATATTAATATCAAGTAGCGTATTTTGTGAGTGCACTCAGATAAGTGTATAATAGACGCCGCAAATGTTGAGCGCTGTGGTATAGTTTACGTTCCAACTATTTAGTTTTCATTTGTCTATAAGAAATAATTTTCAGCGCTCAAAATCCGCGGCTAACTCTACCTCAGCGAGGTTTGTTATCGAGGAGAGCCTTTGTAGTGAGCTCCTTCGTTGTGTCGTGACTAGCTTGCGTACTACATTTAAAGGCCGCCTTAGGCCTAGCATCTGTGTGCCGAAGAAAGAATCGGACGCTTCCTCGCTGTCTTCTTGAATGGAAACCTTGAAATCAAATACTCGAGTGTCGCCGTGTACGTTTAACGTATACGTACTAGTGCGTACTTTTGTGCAAACTAAATAAATGGTGTGTTTTTTGTTGTTGTTTTTTTTCCTAATACATATACATTCCGGTTTCTTTACTATAATACCTTGATGGTTGTTATGAAGTTCATATATAAAAAAATAGATTTATTAAAATGATATAACATCCACACATCAATTATAGATATTTGTTACAAGCCACATTGGTTTTAATTAATTTCATAGCTTAAAATTGTACTATACATAATTCGTTTTATTTTTCATTTGACAAATATAAAAACAAATGTAAAATCACAAGGTTTCCTCAACTAGGTTATAAACAAAACATGCAGTTAAAATAAAACATACAATAACATTTGGCATTTTATTAAAACATATTTAACAGATAATAAAATCTAAAACTATGCGCTATACACGTAATATTTGGTATATTATTCCAACGCTACAACAATAGAACTGAGAGCTAAGTATGCTCTCGGTCTAGAGAATACATTTCCGATCCAACTCCTAACATTCCTATATCGATTTCTGATTCCAAAACTATTATATGTATGATTGAACGCGTTAAAACAACAGATGCTCACCTCTTTCGCTTCTGAAACGTCTTCGGTGAATTTCACAGATATTGTACGCGATGCTTCCTTTTCTTCCCAATCGTCGTCGGAGTCGCGGTCACGTGAAAACGTTGATTCTGTTCATTTAACAACTGTTTAATATAGAAAACTGCCATAATATTTAGTTTTATTATATCTTAGATTTTTCACATAGTGTAAACTTTAAAGAAAAATTATCCAATCCGATGAAGAAATATTAAGTTTTGCATTTATGATGAATGATTGGCATGTCTTTAACCATTCTACCCGCGTGATTTCTTTCCCATACAACCACAGCTTTGCATAAAAAGCATACACAATAACAAAACACAAAACAACATGAATGTTTATTTAAATAACAAAAAAGTACGCACGTATAAGTGTACGCAAGTATACGTATACACACGTGCTGTGATAACCAACTACTAATATAAGTATAAAATTATCGTGTATGAAGCAGCTAGTGAGATCACATGAAAAAAAACCATCAGCCTGGCAAACAGTTAACCTATACCACAAATACTTCGATAGTAATAATCTCTGGGGTAGTAAGTAAAACGGAAAACGGAACTATAACGTATTTCAAAGACAGATAGTCTCGCGTTTATGTGATTGGACTAGATTCTGCAGACCAATCACAATCAAGCTATAATTGCCATCGTGTTACATTGACTAGGACAAAGTAAGACTATCCCAGACTTTGACAATTATTCAAAAACCATGTATCTAGTGAATTTGAGTGTCAATTATCAGTGTTAAATACTTTACTATAACGTGTTTATAATTGGCGACTTCTTAGAAAATATCTGTGCTTCTATAGGTATTGCCAGGCTGTTAAAACTCACCTCTTATCCTATCAAGCTCCTGCGACTGTGAATTAAATCTGTGTTCCCTGAACCACGTGCCACTGCCGACCTCTGATGTGTGTTCCAACTCTATGTGTCGAATGTGTCGTTAATATTTACACGGCAAACAAAACATAACCACAGTGTCCATACACAAGAGTCAACTTTCTTTCTTATGAAGTAGTTTCTATGTAACTGACTTAAACATGAAACTAAAAAAATTGTCTGCATAGACAAGATATTAAGGACTAAGGAGAAGTTAAAGGTCAAGTAGAGAATTAGATCAGGACCCTTAGAAGGCTGCATGTAATTTAAAAGATTATTAATTTTTCGCAATTATGCAGAAATTATCAAGATAATGGTTGTATTTTATATGAAAACCTAATTTAAGGCGATATTCCTTAAATGCTAGAATTCGGATTGTGTATAGACACTGACGTACGCACAAAAAGGGAAAGCACAATAAGCAAAAATTATGAAAGAAATTTGCGTTTACATTTCATTGTAACGTGTATTAAACAGTAGTTATAAATTCGTGATAAAACTAGGAAATGCAGTTTGAAAAAAAAAACTGATACTCGCCCTTGTCATATGTCCAAGATAAAGAACTATAGATTAAGAATAAATCAAATACAAATATCCGTAAAACTGGTATATAAGAAGGGCGTCAGTCATGTTAAACTTTACAAATAAGCAACAAAAGCATTGTATAGCAATTATCATGAAATATATACTAAAACAAATATTTCTATAAAAAAAATCATGATAACAGCTGTTAAAGCGAAGCAGCGATATAGAAGCCGCTTTTCAGATATCGTAAATTTATCAACAGATGGCGCTAAATCAAAAAGCTTTAGACTAAACAGCAATGTCCTACAATGTTCTCCTTGTAGTAGAAACAACTTCTTTGGCGTTTTGTATTACCTAATCGCTTTAAAACAGCTCCTTAAATACGAATCATTTAGGACGCTAGTTTTTACCATGTTCTAAACTTTAAACTTAAACACATTTGAATTTAGAAAATATTTTAGTTTTTAGTACATTTTTGTTTTGAATTTTATGCCCATTTCTCTTTTGGATGTTATGTTCATCAATTTCTGATATACAAATAAGAGAGAAAAGTATGATGCGTTGCCATTATCTTAATATATAAATTACGCGTCACGTTGTTTGTCCGCTATGGACTCCTAAACTACTTAACCGATTTCAATCACATTTGCACACCGTGTGCAGTTTGATCTAACTTAAAAGATAGGATAGTATTACATCTTAATTTATACCCACAATATTATTTTATTGCAAATTATTTGTCATTCACAATTCTAACAGATGGCGCTGTGTTGAAAGTACCAACGTTTCACATAAGCTACAATTTAATGGCATAACCACCAAAAAAGCATGGTGGTCCCAATGACTGGTGTTCTCCTACCGTTTCCCTTGAATAGTTTAATAGTATGTAATATAACAAAAACCTTAGCCACAGCAACGCTTGACCGAGTCTGCTACTATAATATATTTTTAACTTCCATAATACAAATTTTAATATAGAGCCATCTGTTTGTGGAATATCGAAACGGCTCATTCCCAGAAGTCTTGCAAATAAAATACCTGGTTGTTGTGTGTAACTCAGCTGAGGTAATAGGAAGCATGTGAGGACATTCTCGCCAGTTGTTTCGTCTCTGTCTGCTTGGAAGGTTAGCAATGGCTGCGCTTGATTCTCAGACAGCCACACTGCTTTTAACTCTAAATTGACCAGGGTATATGGAAGATATTGTAATCTGAAATAATGATGAATCATTAAAATTCGGTGATAACATTTATTAAATTGTCTATTATAAAGTTAATGTATCAATGTCTAACTTAAACACACATATTGTCTTAAGAACATTCAAACTATTTGTGTCATGCTTTTACCAACGCTTTCCCAAAGCTAAGGTTTCAAATTCCAAAAACAAATGAAGGTGAGAACTCGAATGCAAAAACTAAAAATTAATTATTTAATCACAAACTGTAATGTGTTAAGCGTTTATTCATTAAAAATAAAATAAATCAATGGCGCTACAACCTCTTTAGGTCTGGGCCTCAGATTTCTGAATCTGTTTCATGATCATTTTTCAATCTAATAGGCAAGTAGGTGATCAGCCTCCAGTGCCTGACACACGCCGTCGACTTTTTAGGTCTAAGACATTTCGGTTTCCTCACGATGTTTTCCTTCACCGTTCGAGTGAATGTTAAATGCGCACATAGAAAGAAAATCCATTGGTGCACAGCCGGGGTCGAACGACCTCAAGGATGAGAGTCGCACGCTGAAGCCACTAGGCCAACACTGCTCTCGTGCTTTTATTTATTACATGTATTATTTTTGTTAGTAGGAAATATAAAAAGCACTCACCGATTACCGCTAACATCTAAAACATGGAGGGATTTACAGTTTCCGATCTCGTTTGGCAGCTTTGTTAGCTTATTATCTCGCAGACTTAGTACACCCAACAATGTCATATTGCCTATCTCAGCTGGTATTTCACCCAAGGAGTTCCTATCAACATTGAGCACCGTCAGCTCATTCAGATTTCCTATAGATCTCGGCATTTCCGTCAGAAAATTTTCCGTTAGAATAAGCTCTTGCAGGTTTGTACATCTGAAAAGAAAATCGTTTTTAGAAAATAACTTTTTTTTACCGGATTTGAAGTTATGTTTTATTATAAATTTACAATTATTTTACATAATTTTAAATTTAACCGACGTTTCGCGTGCTTTACAGCGTGCGTGGTCACGGTGATTGAAGACAAAAGGTGTTGAATGTCAAAAAGTATCACAGCTGTAGAAAAAGTTGTATTATCTGTATTTATTTCCCCGGAGTTGGTGTCGACTAAAAGATGGAGGGTTTTGGCAGAAATGGCTCACGGTGTCCTCTATTTTCGCGGATTATTATAAATTTAAAATTATGTAAAATAATTGTAAAATTATAATAAATCATAACTTTAAATCCGGTAAAAAAAGTGTTTTTCTATGTCTAAAAGTTATGTCAATAAAAGACAATACTAAAATTTTTAACATTCCAGCAAGCCTACAAAGCTACAGTTATTGATTGGTGTTATTCCTGGAATCGATACTTTGTTTAAGAAATACATCCGGATAATTAATAAAATCCGAACACATATATCTCCAGATTCTTTAAAGTACGAGAATGTACTGTCGGAAATCCTCAACAAAAAGACCTCTCTCGAAGTGCTTAGGATTGGCCTGTACTGTACTTTAACTGCATTCTATCTGAACTTGCAATTCTAATTATTTTCTATGCATTACTATACCAGCAATAAGTCCCGTTATCTATAAGCTGGCACAATATTTTTATAGCGTGCATTGACAATTCTTTGAACAATTAACATCACTCAATCGTATTGATAACAGCCTCCTTCTCTATTTTGTCGATTAATGAATTTTAATAGAAAATTTATACATACCTTCCCACATTTTCATTTAATGTATGTAATCTATTTTGGTCCAGTTTTAATATTGCTAACTTCCCGACACTTCCAATACCGTTTGGTATAGTCTCTAGCATGTTCTGCGATAAATGCAGATCCGTTAACGAACACAATCCGCCGATCTCTTCTGGTATCTTTTCGAGTTTATTCTCGCTAACATCGAGGCATATTAAAGCTTTCAAATTTCCTATTTCTGAGGGTAAATACTGTAGCTTGTTGTGATCGAGCCATAACTCTTGTAGTGCAGGCAGCTCCCCAATGAAGCCGGGCTGGAAAGAATAATTTTTAATCAATATATTTGTAAGACAAAGTCTGTATTCTAAAGTTTCAAGTAATATAATGTCTTCAATTATACTAAATACTATTTTTAAAACTGCAAAAATTTTTTTTAAAGAAAATTTAATAGCATAAAGGTAATGGATTTGATTACCATGATATGAAAAAAATACTCTATTTTTTGCAACCATGCATGTGTGGGGTATCATCGAATTATTGTTGGGCTTCTATTTATAAAATTGTACGAATTAATTGCATAATTTTTAAGCGATAAAATAAATGTAAGATTTATATTAAACATGTGATTGTAAATACTTACAAGTATTTCGATTTCATTATCGCCGAGGTCCAATCTTTCCAGTTTAATAAGATTTTTCAAAGACTCCGGCAGGGACTTCAGCAAATTCTCTCTCAGCTCCAGTGATTGGAGAGACACCAAGCTGGAATAAAAGAAAAGTATATGATAGAGATAATAATAAAATTACATTTACAAAAGTAATAACAACTTCACGTATTAATTACTACGTAAATTAGGAAGTGAGTTTCGTAAGAGTAAAAGTGTTGTAGCCAATCATTTACTCAATGAAAAGATTTGTATTGATTTTACGGAGTAGCCTTGCCGCTCTATTAAAAAGTAAGTCGCCGACAACTGTCATTTAATAAGTATAATTAAACTTTGTGTTTGAGTTAGAGATATCAATCTCAACTGTTTACAAACACATTTATCATTGGGTCAACAGATTTCGCTCTCTGAGTCATACACAGGACGAAAACACAAAAACAATTTCAATAAATGACGAGAGTTATGTAACCTAATATTAGTTAAGTTACATATATATTTTAGTAATAATTAGAAGCGCGAACTAACTGTTAGCAACCGTCGGACATTTGAAGCCAAAATGAGCCCTTTAGTTTTCCCACACTTATAAATTGTAATATAACATTCTCGTTTCCGATAATGTCCAATAGGTCGACCAGGTCTTCCGAAGAAATTAAAAAGACCATTTAAGAAATTAGCGTACCAATTCTTAAAAGGCCGGCAACGCACTTGCGACCCTTCTGGCAATGTGTGTGAGTGTCTATGAGCGGCGGTATCACTTAACACCTGATGAGGCCCCTGCCCGTTTGCAAATTAAAAATAAAACACATTTGAAAACCTATGGTGCCACGTAAGATTCTTAAAAGAAAGTCATTCAAACGTATTAAGATGTATGACAATGGATGACTAATCCACTGAGTATTCAGTGCTATACGCAAGGTTAAATGGATAAGTGAGTATTATTCACTAAATAACTTGACAAGTGTATTACGCTTATGTGTTTAGTGTTTTTATGATCTATTATATTCAAACTTGATTTGAAAACACGTTTGGTTTGTATTTTTATTTGGCAAAGTCATTATATAATAAATAATGATCATAATAAAATAAACCAACTTTATATGGTTTTCACACGCACCGCTTTGACAAATTCATTTTCTTTTCAATCGTCCTTTTGTGCCTTAACTTCGGAATATGACATTGTAAAATCATTTCCAAATTCCCATCTCTGCCAGAACTCAAAGTTTTTCTATTTTAATTTGCTATGCCTAATTTCCCTACTATGATGTCGTCGGAGGTATTAAGTAACGTATGTATATATATTTGTATATTATTAGCAAAATTGCATTTAGAACTAGTATGATTAAATACTACTAAAATGTTAGTAGATAGTTAATAATTAATAAACCGTTAGAAACCGTATAAGAAATTCACAAATACTTATCAAACTTCATAGAGATACAATGTACAATAAAAAACAGCTCTTAAAACAGACTTGTAAATAAATTCTTCCTAAATCGCATCAATCCTAATACTATGATAACATAGAACGTAGAACCAAATATTGTTTATCAGTATCGCTTTTACTCCCAAAATTTATTTTCACAGTACACCGTGAGTACAGTACATATACTTGCGGCACCTCCATATGTATAGCAATAATGAAGAACCAATGCCAATTTAATACAAGCGCCGCAAATAGGATTGCGTTAACATTCAACTTATGCTTAGTGGACCTTGGCATCGCATTCCTAAGGAAACTGAAAATCAATAATTGATGAATCATTACACAAAGATGAATGAATCTATTATCATTTTTTGGAGTGACGTAAATGTGCTTATGTAGGTTATATTTGGAGTTTTTATTATATGAATTGGCAACTTCATAGAGGTAACGAACCGGGTTAGTTGCAATCCAACTCGTTGCATCCCGTAAGCTCCAAATAGGGAATCGAACAAGTAAATACATCTGTTCCACTGGTAATTTTTAAGTAGTTGATTTATTTATTTATTTATTAACAGCTCAATGGCCAAACTTAGACTAAAAACAATTAAGATTTACAAAATTTACAGTACAGGGTAGCATTACCCTCTTATCCCCTCCAGGTACACTCTGAAACCACAGTATACCAGCCCCATAAGCTTCCCAAACAGGTCGCTCTCCGGTGAAGAGTCGAGAAACCCATTAAGCAGTGAGATTAACCGGGGAATGGGCGCTTGTTGTCGCTGGACAGTGCGATATATGTTAATGTACCCAACATTATTTGTCTGGGGGTGGTGGGGTACAATAAAATGGAAACCAGACGGGACTTACAGTTGGCCAACTATGTACGAACAGAAAGTCTTGAGGGGGGTAGTATGCAACCCAAGTGTACTCCAAGAACTGGGTTTCTTTGTGTCTATGGGATATGTGCGACGGCGAAGGCCTAAGTTATTTGCGATACCAAGGGCCAGAACCAGTCGTTGCGCGCCTACTTAATGTCTCTGATACTATCGACATATTTATATGTTCGCAGAGTGAATTCACAGAAGCGATTTTGTGTATATTATGTGTTTAATATTATATTTTTTTCGACATTACCGTATTGGCATAGTCTGTAAGGATAATGTAGGTATTTCTGCAATCAATAAGTAAAAAAATAAATGTAACCACTAGTAATATTTACGTCTAGTATGTTACTAATAATAAAAAATCAAACGTACCCATAACTAACGAGCATGTATGGTTGGATCGTAGCAAGTGGATAGTATAGGCAGGCATAGGAAAAGTGTATATATGTATAAGAGTGTATATGTATAACTTAAAACAGGTAATTTGGCACCCTGGTCGATAATGCTAGGAACTTGAGATATCTAGACGTTACAATTCAGTAAATAAACCCAGAGGTTTTTTAGCTTCTTGGTTAAATACTTAAGAATTTTTATCCGAAAATAACAAGCGTATAAGACAAGTCGTAAAAATTTGGACAAAAATTTGGGTTTATTATACCTACGTAATTATAATGCTCTCGATTTTGCGTTTATCGTCTCGCAAAACAAGTTGATTAGTCACGCTGTGTAAAATCTAATACAAATCTCTTATCGCAAATACTACGTTAGCAATGCAGATCGAATCGCGAAGTAAAGAAACACTTATCATGGTCACAAAAGCGATGGATGACAATAATAAAATAAAATTAGCGATTTTATTTTTGCCTTATAACAAGATCATTTCAGAAGAAATAATAGAAGCCGCGTAAGAAATCTTCCATTCAATCCGAATGACGGAGAAAGTGTAAAAAGTTGGTCGACTTCAATTGTAACCTGAACATTGAACTTGACAGACGAAGACATGAAAAGCATTGTCTACAGGCGTTTATTTTTAAATAATATTATATCATATGCTAAAAGTCCATCTGGTGTTAACAACATATGTAATAATAAACGTAAAAAAAATTAAATATTATGTTATAAAGCAAAGATAAGCCATAACACCTTGATAACATAGGCACGCCCTAAATACCTATACTTATCGCATTTATTACTTTAATATCACGTTCAATAGCATTTGTATAAAGACTGTATAATAACTCGTATAACAATACAAATAGAGCTTAAAATTGTTTGTATATACAATTGCAGTTGATGGGTTTAAATGAATGGGACATTTTATACTTTGAACAATGACAAAGTGTCCTGAATACCATTGCAATTCGTACATGGCCCTATGTGGTTTTATATTGGGTTAGTTAATGGTCAGTCACTGCTCTACTCTTCATAAAATCATTAACTAAATCACTAATCTTTTCATCGCAGCACAATTTGCTGGATTTCCCCTACAACAGACCCCTACTACGACCTCTAGTCTTTGACCACTAGACCAGCTCAGGTAAGCTTCCTTCACCGCCCGATCTTGAACCACACACTTTGAGTGCCCCAGCTAACGTGGCCGATAAGCTTTGTATTCGCATTTGGGCCGGGCTACCAACACCAGTCCAACATCCGTCTTCCCTTCCCTCACAGCCGTACGTACATTAACACTGGTCGTCTAACAGTATTGTATATACGATATAAGTAATTGACGGAAGATGGCGTAGGACAGGGAGTGCTGGATTTTGGTTTAGAACCAGCGGAGTGAGTGTTAAAACTGTAGGGTTATTATATGTTTATAGGGTTAATTTAAATTTAATAATTAAGTCTCTATATCTTAATATATATAAATTACGTGTCACGTTGTTTGTCCGCTATGGACTCCTAAACTACCGAACCGATTTCAATCAAATTTGCACACCGTGTGCAGATTGATCTAACTTAAAAGATAGAATAGCTTACATCTCAATTTATACCCGTAATATTATTTTATTGCAAAATATTTGTTTATTACTTAATAGTCACAATTCTAACCGATGGCGCTGTGTTGAAAGTACCAACGTTTCACATAAACTACAATTTAATGGCATTACCACAAAAAAGCATGGTGGTCCTCATGACTGGTGTTCTCCTACCGTTTCCCTTGAATAGGTTACTACTATGTAATATAACTAAAACCTTAGCCACAGCAACGCTTGGCCGGTCTGCTAGTAAAATATATAATTGTGATGGTACGTGGGGTTATAACGCTTAAATGTTCTTATGCGAATTTTGACTGCACAAATTGTAATATTAAATTTGTATTAGCGAAATAAGTTTTTCAATACAGAATATGTAAGTAATCTAAAGTTATAAAACCTCGAAACTTTTGGCCTTATGAATTTAAAAATAAACAAAGCGTTCTTTGAGGCAAGACCGTTAGATGATAATACTTTACAAGCCATTGTACAGAGCTCAGAAGAGTTCACAACAAAAAGTCGCTCAGGGCAGTAACTTTCCACGGAACTTTCGCTTTCATTTCTATTTATAGAGCTTTATTAAGCTGTCATTTAATGAAATATGGTTTACCAGCTATGAACATTGTTTGACCGAGTTTCTGCAAGAACAGAGAAAAAACCCGATATATGCTATGAATATTAACTTCGATGACAATCATTATCCGTATAGGTTTAATGAGATATAACTACATGTATTGTATGTGTTTAATTATTTTTCTAGGTCGGTGGTAATAATAGTACTTTAAAACCTCAAACATAATAATGCAAATAAATTATGCTACTCGGTGCTAGCCTAAGCAGATAGTGGAAGGGATAATTATAGGGAATTAATTTACAAACCATTTGTTTCTGTGAACCTTCACAATTCACCGAACAATTTAATCTTACCTGCCAAAGTCGCTTGGTAGGCTGGTGAGCGACATATCATTGAGACCAAGAACTGTGAGCGACCGTAGCTGGCTGAATCCAGCTGGCAGCCGTGGTATCGGGTTGCTACTGAAGTCCGCGATCTGAAGAGAACGGAGTTTCTTGATATCTTCTGGTATGTCGGGAATGTCTGAAAAATGTTTTATTTTACATTAAAATAAAATAATGTTGAACGTTCATGATTCTCCCAAAAATACATACTACGTGTAAATAGATGAATCTTTTTTAAAAATAGAGAAATAAGATAATTTAACTTTTTTATAACTCTAGGTATCTAGTCAATTAAATTCATGCTTTACACTTTTATATTACTAACTTTGCAGCTTAGAATCATTATTTTAAGATATGCAATATTTAAAAATAATATACTTTATACACCAGATTAGTTAAGTTTACCTCATTAATTAATAATTAATTAAAAAATGCTTCGAGGCAAAAGTAAAGTTGAGTCGCTAATTCAATAGATTTTACGCTTTCAAATAAAACGACGTGAAAAATCATAGAAAAGAAAAATATATATATAAAGATAATAATAATATTCAAAAATAACTGAGATACTGCTACCATAAGATCTTATGGGACCGTAACGGGATGTATTCTTTCTTATTAATTCAAAAATAACACTAGTTTGCTAGCATTACGAGCGTCATAGATCGGAAAAAAATATACTTTACGGTTTCCTTGAAAACCGATATGAGCGCACTTCAGCCACATTGTAAAGCTATTTGGCACAAATCATACTATTATTCCATACATCGTAATATAATCGTAAAACTATTACAGACTTGCGTGGTTTTAAAAGATTTGCTATTTTCCTGTTTGCGAGGCGACCATATGAATTTTGTCTTGTCCAATTCACAATTAGTTCACAGTTGTTATTAATTAGGTTGAATTATTAGAAATATATCGGTTAAAAATCTAGTCCCGAATTATGTTCGGTGGCGGTTTTTTGTATGGAGATGTTTTAAATAAAACTCTTTGTTTGAAGCTGGGTTAAAGCTAATGGTTTAAAATATGATCTTATAGCTAACACAAAATTAGGGATAGAGGGATTGCGACGCTAACAAAAACAAACTTGGCTTATCTAAGGGTTAATAAATCTAAATGACACTTATGTTATTAAAGAAATGGACATTTTTTTATTTTAAAATGTTAAAATAAAAAAATGACATTATCGGAGACGAGAATTTTATTTACGATGATTGTTTACATTTGGTTTACGCTTCTAATTATTACCGAAAAAAATTATATGTAACGTAACTAAAGTTAGGTTACAGAACTCCCGTAAGGTGAAGAAACCTTCATGTCATGTGTCTGTCCGATGCCCCATTGTGGCGTAATTGCACATTATACGACTATTCTTAAAAACAACCTTTAAGCATGTAATTTAAACGATTACGTATTTGTGTAATTTTTTTTCAACGTAATGGCGTTTTGGCGGCACACAATACAGTGACTGGTTAATAATTTTTATATACACAAGCTACATCGTCTTAAATTGTCAAGATAAATAAGTTACGTTAAAAATTGTTTAAAAAAAATGCGTCAAAAATAAGTGTGCCCTTCGGAACTATTCGGAAAGGTAGAGTAGGTCAAAAACGATGATTTCATAACTTGAAAAGCATTGAGAAACCATATTTGGGGACATTGTATTCGTGAACTACTCTTTATGGCAACCTCAATATGAAATTGCCAGTGATTAAAATAAAATAAAAGTGCTGTAAGCTATGAATTCTCGAAACATATAACATGCTCTATACAGGAAAAGTTTGGGTGGGGAAAATACCCAACAAGCGTTCGCGGGAGAAAACTAAGCTGTGTAGAGAGAATTGAGTTAAAACTTATCAAATTTTATGTCTTGCTTATGTTTGTATGGCACAAATTCCACAGTTGCCACAGGTAAATAATATTTTATATAGAACAGGGGGCAAACGGGTAGGGGTTCACCTGATACCGGCGCCACCGTATGCCAGAGGGCCCGCGAATGCGTTGCCGGCCTTTTAAAAATTAAAGCACCTGTAATATTTTTGATCCGTTGTTTTTAATAAAATAGCGACGATAGGCTAAATTTGTATCACTTAAATATTTAAATAAGTAGAACATAGATAACAAAGGTTTTAAATAAAATAGCTTACTCAAATTAATCTGCTCTATAGATTTATGTCCGAAAATTATTATTTAACCAAACAACAATAACATAATATCCATAGACTTAACATAAGCTTAATATACAGTTGTTATATACTACACAAATACTTTAACTGTGTCGCTTTTTTACTTCTTTCCATATTAAATACAAAAATTTGTCAATTGTACATATTATTCGTGGAACAATACGAATCTTCAAAGTCTCAACGTAAATTTCCCATAAATCATTTAAAACTTCCCCTCAAAGTCTTCCAAAACTCGTCCGAGATTACGAATTCATAAAACGTTGAGAGAGCAATTGATTATCACAGAATCTGAAAAAGTTTAAGACTAACCTAAACGATGTTGGCTAAATTGAATTGTATAAAAGCTTAGGTTGAAATTCTTTGAATTGCAAGGGCCACTGAAGGTCAACCAGCCTTAATTGACACACATATAGCGTAAATAGCATAGTATTTATTGCCGATCTTTAAGTGACAGTCGAACACGTAAAATTGATTTTTTGAAGTTATACTTTTTTTAGGGAAAAATTATGAGAGTAAAGTTTTACGATGGGCGCGCACACCGTCACAAAAAACCGACACAGTCACAAAACACCGACACCCTGAAGTTAGCATAGTCAACATTTTAAAATAAAAAAATGTCCATTTCTTTAATTACGTAGAAATATTTTTTTTGTGATATTTAAATAAACTTTATTTAACTAGATAATGCGTTATAATAAAACTTTCATTGTATTAAATACCTTTTTATCTATAGTTAGGGTAGTTTTTTCTACAAACTTATAATAAATAAGGCGAAAAAGATAAAAATTTTGAAAAGATTTTTATCTTGTTACGCCAATTACTTCTAACGCGTGTACATAAGTACACACACATGTTATTGTTTTGGTTATCACACAAGGTGATGTAGACCTGGTCTGCAGAAGGTCTGCCTTGAGTGATGAGTCCCATGAGCCTTGAGTCATTTTTATAAAACCAAATTTTATTATAATCATGTTCTTTACCGTATTATTACACGTCCGTAGCTAAGAGCTAAAATCTAATCAACGAAGGAGACGTTTAAGAAAAGTAGCTACAGTGGGATCTCAAACAATTTAAAAAGTAGTAACAAACGAAAATAAAGTCTACCTCTATCGTAATTTTGTTTATAATATTACTTAATAAATCAATATCCATATTATATTGATGAAGTAAGGTATGATTACTATTAGTTACATTTCGTAATACTGTAATTTAACGTTTAAAGATGTTGATCGTAACTATAGAGTATTGGAGCAAGGTCACCCTAACCAGACTATTTAATAAACATTCCTACGTACGGCCATTGTTATCTAATATTGGACACAATCCCGTTACCTCCACAATCGAATGCACAGAAGTTAAATAACATACAAATGTTAAAGAGAATAATTATTATAAGCCTTAGACAGGCTTGCCAAATTATCGTGTGTGTTTGTTTAAATATTATTTAGGTGACAATCCTAAATGTTCCTGTCGGTCGGGACCAAATCCCTAGGGGTTAGCAATAGACCTGGAACTACCCGGCATATGTAATTTATTGTCGCTGTAAAACTTGTTAAACATTTTTAAGTTTGTTTCTAAATTACGCACCTCGCCGATTTATAATCGTGTATTAAACAATAGATTTATAACAAATACATACCATTTAAATTCGGTTCGCGATTAAGCTTTTCAAGAAGGTATTATATTGAAAATATATTTTTGTTAACGCAGTGACCTATAAATCAGTATCTACTCATCCGATTAACATGAAGTGGTTATTTAAGTAAAATTTTCACTAAAATTATATGAGAATAATCCATATTTCCATTTCCGTTGTATTTTTTATTATTTATGAAGAGTTTACAATTTACAGATTTCCCTAGAGAATTTACTATGGTCCTTGACTTAAATGCTAATTGGTAATGGGCTTGCCGAGGTTCTACAATGCGGTGCCGAGACATGAACTGACGGTTTTAACGCCCTCATTTGGAAAAGGGTGGCATCCATGATGTACCGTGTATGGTACCAATGGTATCCTGAATGTGTTGGTTACAAAGAAAACGCATATCTTAAAACACTAGTATGCTGTCTATGTCCCACTATAACACTTTTTTTTGTTTTGTTTATTAACCAATACTAGTGTAGCAACTTCGGCCGAATTGAGACTTAGTAGTCTAATTAAGTTTGGTGGCGGTTTTTTGTATGGAGATGTTTAACTCTTTGTTTGAAGCTGGGTAACAACTGACATTAATAGTTTAAAATATGAGCTTATAACTAACACAAAATTAGGGGTAGAGGGGTTGCGACGCTAATAAAAACAAACTTGGCTTATTAACTAAAACTACATATTGATATCATCTGAAGTAATTATTATTAAATACAGTTAAATATATTGAAACACCATAGCGACATTGGCTTCAATTACTTCAATTGAAACGCGATGAAAATAAGACTATTAAGGATCTCAATCTTGTGGCATATACTTCATTACTTACACTGCTAACTTTTGCTAATATTATTATTATTTTCTGCTAAGTATTATTACATTCCTTTTCTTTCCTTTTTTGCGACTGAGGCGCAAACTAGCTGCTGTGGTCTCTGGCAGAATGACCAGCGCTGTGGAATATTCTGCTCCTCAGCATAATGCTGAGACAGGGCCAATTACAGCCACAGCACACACGCATTCACACTTGCAACGAACCGAATGGGAAAAGGAAAAATATTTCTTTTTTATATCTTTCATTATATTTTTTTCTTTGATAATTGTTTGTGTGTTGTTGTTAGTAATAAATGTTATGTCTAAGTCTATATAGTTCACTCAAACATTTCCGAAGAAATTATCCAAGCATGGTAAAACTTATACTTTAAATGTACTTTTATGTAATGTATGTATACCATTCAGAGGCAAATAGAGAGGCTAAGTATCCTTACCGCTATGTCTTACCTAGCGAAGGCATAACTGCCCTGTATGAGAATAATCCTTATATAAATTTCCATTGTATTTTTTATTATTTACGAAGTGTTCACAATACCTTTATGACCTTCAAGAGTTATTATTAAAGCTTAATTAATTAATGCATACAATAATTGTTTAGTTTACATTACTTAGTATAGTTATTAGTTGTGCTATGTATAATTTTTTAGTATTCTAGTATTTGTATGACCCCTTTTAGGGTAAAAGCCTATTCCAAATTTTTTCCATTTCTCTTTGTCCTAACCAACATTCATCCAGTATTTCCCCGTTAGTACGGGTCTATTACGTCATCTATCCATCTTTTGTCGTCCTATACATCTCTTTCCATTAGGACAAGTCTATTTTATTGTTGCAGCTTTTATAATAAAAGACATACTAGAGTAATTTTACCTTTAACCATTATGGATTTCGACAATGAAGACTGCCAAGATGAATGAAGTCGAAAAAAAAATGCTATTTTATTCGATTATTCATTCTAATACACTGACCAACCAACTGATGACATTTTAATAAATTGCATTATTCAAGGGCGTCTATACAATTTATTTCAAAGCACCGGTATTTAATGTTTTCGTATATTTTTAGTTCACAACCCGTTATTTTAATAGCCCGTTAACTAACCTCACCTAATCCAATTTTTTTGTTACAAATCATTGTAGCGTGACTCATTTACGTTTAAAAACAATTGTTCTAGATTAATGTACCCTTTATGGGTAAACCTATGTCTAAAATAGTTATTGAATGTTTTCGTCTAATTTCGTATGTCATTCGAAATTAAGGAAAAAATAAAACATTTTTTTTTTTCATTCTTTATCTAGAGCACATATGGGAAGAACATATATGCCGAACACGAAGTCAAGCTGTGTACATACGTAGTCGGTCCCAAAGTTCTGTCATAAATGGAAATAATGATAAAAACAAAAGTACTGATCAGTTTGTAATGAGTGATATATCAATTCTTAGTACATTAATTAAGGAATAAAAAAAGCATAAAAATATTCGAAATAACCTCCCTCATTTTTAATACAGGCCCTTAAGCGTCGCGGCCAGTCGTCTATCGCAGCACACACCATATTCGTGTCGATTTCAGTCACTGGTTTTTTTAAAGATGACTTCAGATTCTCCAAATTTTCATGAGGTTTATCACAGACCTTCCTCTCTAAGCCCTGTCATAATTTCTGGTCCAAAGGATTAAGGTCCGGACTGGAGGAAGGCCAATCCTCATGTCTAATTAAGACGATGTTTTGACGCTCAAACCAGGCTTTATTGGTCTTGGCTTTGTATGCAGACGCAGAGTCCTGCTGGAACACGAAGTGATGTCCCGCAAATAGGGTGCTGGACATGTCTTTGACAAGGCGATACAAAACCGTCTCTTGGTACACTGTACCACTGGTTTTGACCCCCTTTCGAAAAAATTAACCTCAGTTAGCCCGTAATAGGACACTCCCAACCAAACCATTACTGATGATGGATGATGTCCATGTTGCACCCTTGGAACTTTATTTTCAGCTTCTTCAGAACTCCTAGCGTACACTGTATAATTCTGTTTATTGTACTTCTCTTCAATATCGAAAAATTTTTCGTCCGTAAAGAGGATATCACGGTGTCGGTTTTTCGCGTACCGCTTAAACAACACCCGCGATCTCTTAAGCCTTATTGCTTTTAGACGAGCATTAAGTAAGTGCCCACTCTTTTTTTGTATGCTCGTAGACCAAGATCTTCATTTAAAACCTTTTTTACTGTTTTCCTACTGACACCCATCTGCAAATCCATCAACTTTTGTTTTCGGACAGGATTTCTTACTATCCGCGCCTTGATAGCTTTGATTACTGCTGGTGTTCTTGCGGAGCGTGGCCAGCCAGTTCTTTTCTTGTCCTCAACACTGGAGACTTCAAGGTACCTATCAATAGTACCGTACACAAACCTAAGCGTTATATTCAAATTTTTGAGCAACTTGAAAATGGTACTCGGCGAGTGTCCACAGCGCGGCGGTGCAACGCAATAACAACTATTCGGTTTACTTTCAATGTCCACTCCATCGTGAAAAATTACGGAAAGTTATTGTTTTTTGTTTTAAAACAATAATCAAACATTCCAAAATAGAATGCAATAATTTTTTTATAAAATCCTGCTCGAAATGTAGAAATAATGTGCTAGTGACAGAACTTTGGGACCAACTACGTACTTTCTATCCAATTTTAATAAAATGTTTGGACTTCAAATCTATCTGGAATTCTTTTGACAACTAAAACATTTTGTAGTTTAATACAAAGAAATAAAATCAGTTTTTAGCTGTTAATTCTTTTCATGCTGTTATAAAAACATATAAACGCCTTAATGAAATACAATGAATAACACTTAGATTTTTATTACCAAAGTAGTAATATACCTTTAAATTGTAAAAGTGTAGAAATTATTTACAGTATAATTCGACAAGTAACTGGATTTCTAATTTCTCACTAACGGTAGGTTTAGTTTCCGGTACCAACATTCCAACATGACATCATCAATCATTTGTCAAGAACATGCATTCCATAATATTTCACTGAAGTTGCATCGATCGCAATAAGTAGGTCGTAGTTAGGGCCTTGCGACGTTTCCTGACTATGGTAATTTCTCGATTCACCCCTAAGATAGGCTTACGTAAGTGATAACCTTAATGCATGCATGCTAAACTAGGCTACATACTAACATGCAAATTTGACGACTCATTGGTCTGGTGGTTAGTATTCTGACTGCGAATTCATGGGTCCCGGGTTCGATCCCCGGCTGAGACGATCATCGATGTGATGAGCATTTAGTGTTGTGCTTAGGTCTTGGGCGTTTAAATATGTATTTATATGTCTATCTATCTATAATATGTATGTATATCCGTTGCCTAGTACCCATAACACAAGCTTCACCAGCTTAGCATGGGATTAGGTCAATTGGTGTGAATTGTCTTTAAAAAAAAAACTTAAGTCAATTAGTTCGGATTCGCTTAAGTCA